ATTCTAACCCTGTTTGACGTCCATAAACTTCCATAAACTTACCCAGTTTCACTTCCATAACTTCCTAAAGTTCCTAAGTTCACCTCCATCTTGAAGGACAAGACTTGGTCCTCCCCTCTCAGTGTGTAAGCTTGGGAATTTTTGATTCAAAAATTCTAGTTTGAATTTTTCTGGAGGTGGCAGAAGAATAATCCCAAATGAGAGAAAAGCCCCTGGTGGGGGGGATAAAGCTCTTTCCCACCTGCTGGGCCCCCAGGCAGCAGTGCAGGCTCTGGGGGTACCTCAGGAACTGGCCACAAACCCAGTGAGCAAGTGCTGGGTGCAGCCAGGTGTAAATCCCTTCCTCCACAGCCAGGAATGACCCACCCAGGTCATGGATGCCACAAACTGAGAGCCAAACTGAGGAAGCTGAAGAAAATGAGGAGGGAAATGGATAAAGGATGAAGAAAATGAGGAGGGAAATGGATAAAGGATGAAGAAAAGGAAGAGGGAAATGGATAAAGAATGAAGAAAATGAGGAGGGAAATGGATAAAGGATGTCCTTCCTGACTTCCCAGGCATTGCCTGTGGCACAGAGCACTGTCATTAGCTGATTTCAGTTTGCAGAAAGATTACTCTCTGTTCCATTGTTCTTTTCAATCCAAAGATTATTCCAGTGCTTTGGGTGTTTTGCTGCAGAGAAAAATGAGGACAGGCTGTGAGTTATGATTTAGAGTTGGTTTTTAGTAGGAAAGGTAATACAAGGATAATTTAATGTAATCTTTCTTTATTCCCCCACTTCTGTAATTTTCATAGCTCAGCAGTAAGTGGGGACATGAGGGGTGTTTGGGGACAGTGTGAGGAGACAGAGCTGCAGTCTGGGATGGAAATGGACTCCTCACAGCATCACTGGGACCTTGGCTGGGCTGGGGTTTTGTGGGGCTCTGGGGCTGTCAGTCCTGGAGTACCTCAAGGCTGATGGAATGCTGGAGCCTCTGTCCTGTGAGGACAGGCTGGGACACCTGGGGGGGCTCACCTGGAGAGGAGCAGCTCCAGGGAGAGCTCTGAGCCCTGCCAGGGCCTGGAGGGGCTCCAGGAGAGCTGGAGAGGGACTGGGGACAAGGCATGGAGGGACAGGACACAGGGAATGGATTTAAACTGAAAGTTGGTGGATTTAGATGGGATATTGGGAAGGATTGTTGGCTGTGAGGGTGCTGAGAGGCCCTAGGACAGAGATTGCCCAGAGCAGCTGTGGCTGCCCCTGGATCCCTGGCAGTGCCCAAGGCCAGGCTGGACACTGGGGTGGGAGCACCTGGGACAGGGGAAGGTGTCCCTGCCATGGCTGGGGTGGAAGGGGATGATTTGACAGTCCCTTCCCACCCAAACCATTGTGGGATTCTCTGAACCATGTCACTCTGTGTACCCCTGTTGCTGTGTGGGACCAGAACAGGCCCATCCCCAGCGGGGAGGGAGCTCAGCACCACATTTGACTCTTCTGTAAATCTGTGTGTTAGAGATGGATGTTGTTTATAAACCAGCCCAGGTCTGACTCCTGTCCTGCTCTGTTCTGGGGGGGCACTGGCAGCAGGGTCGGGGTGTGCATTCAGTGGGACATGTTCTGTTTTCCTTGCACTTAATCCCATTTTATCCAGAGCTACTCAGCACTGGGTGCGTTCACCTCTTTGTTTGTCATGAGGACAAATAAATCGCCCTGCCTCACTAAAAGCTTATTAATTTTAAGTAAATGCAAATCTGGAGAGTGTCTGGGTTGTTTCAGGAGGCAGTGGCCGCTAAGCAAAGATGTCACATCACATGCTCGGAGTTTATTTTGCACAGAGCTCGGAGGAACTGAAATAAAAAGCAAAAAGATGAAAACCATTCTTAACTTCTTTGCCAACAAGGCCTTGTATGATACTGTGCAAAGCAGAAAAGTTGTAGAAGTACATGGCAGATGAAAAATACTTAAGCCACACAAAAGTCACTGACAGGTAACATCTACTCATCTCACTATTTGTACAAAGTAGCTTTTATATTACTGGGGGTAAAAAAGAGAATAAAGGGCGCTGCATCAGCTTGTGGACTGCTTGTGGATCAAAAGCATTACCTTCAGTTCAGGCTGAAAATAGAAAACAGACACAACTGTGAAGTTTTTCATGTGAAAAAGTGGGAGACGAGCTTGCGTCAGGAAGAGCTGGACAGAATTTCACTGAAATGGAAAATAAGTAGGTGAGTAAGTAGGTGCATGTGACACGAAAGATAGGAAACCTGGGTCTAATCTAACTTTCTGGTATTGCAGATGGCCTGATTTTCTTCTCCTCTCTGACACATTACCGAAATTTCAATTCTCTGATTTCAATTATTACCCTGTTTATACTGCTGTAGTACCAGGAGTCCCTGTAGAGAAGAGGCCTCATTATTAATGGAACACAAACAACTCTAATGGTTCAGCTTCAAAGAAACCCTCCTGAAAGTGGGGAAGGGAGATGCAGAGTGGCAGAGAGGAAATACCAGCAGCTCTGTGTGCGTGAGGAGCTGCAGCCCTGCGAGCTGGGGGATGGTTTTGGGTGATGGAAACCAAACCCTTCCTTGGTGCAGATGCTGGGCCCATCCCACGGCTCCTCTCCTGATGCCCCTGGGATGATGCTCTTTGGGAGGGCTGGGTTTGTGCTCAGGGATGGGTCCCAGAGCCAGCAGAAGGAGGCTGGGGATGGGTTTTGTTCAGATGCTGTGCGAGGAGTGGGTGAAGTGTCCCTGGCTGGGATGGGTTCCTTGGTGACTCCAGCTAAGGTGAAGGCCAAAGGCTCTCCAGGGTACCAGGAACTATCCCACCTTTGTACCCACCTGGTTTTATCCCATTTTTCCCCAAGTTTCCTGCACTATTTCTGCCTTTTTTTTGAGGTGAGGGCCAAAGGCTCTCCAGGGTTTTATCCCATTTTTCCCCAAGTTTCCTGCACTATTTCTGCCTTTTTTTTTTTTTTTTCCCCTTTGGTCTGACTCTCTCCTCACATTTTTTTTTTGTGGGTTTTTTCCTCCTGATGTAGAATATTCCTCTCCCCATTGTCTGTGTGCCATTGCTCAGTGGCCTTTCAGATCTCTCCTACTCAGGATAAGTGTGGGTTGCTCTTCCCTGGCTATGATCCCTTATTTTCTGCCCCCTGTTATTTGAATCAGGCTGCAGAAACCTATTTAAAGGATTTACCTTTTTATCTTCCCCATCTTTTTTTTTTTTTTTTTTTTTTTTTTTTTTTTTAATTTAAAGACTGGGTTAGAGTTTATTTATCAGCTATACAGGTTTTTTTATTTTGCAGTCTTTCAGAAATATGCCCAGTCCATAAATATAATGAAATTTCATGAGAAAAACATTATTTGATATACAAAAGGCACCGTGCTGTGCTTATATCACACTGAGGGCAGCTGGGAGTTAAGCAAGTGCACAATGCATGTGCCCAAATTATCTCCAGAATGAGGCCCAAAATTGGGCTGCACTGCTTCCTCTGCCTTCCACAGGAAGCTGTGATTTTTATCACACCCAATAATTTAAATAAAAACATTCAGATAAGCAGCCAAGTATCTGGCTCAGGGAAGGCAACTAGACAGAAATTGATCTCGTGTTTTATAAATGCTGTGGCTTCAGAAGATTTGCAAACCCTGAAGCTTGTCTGCTTTGTTTCCCCCCAAATAAATTATCTTTTCCAATAAAGATATAACTGCTGCCTATAAACCTGTCTTGATGTCTGTCTCCAGACTATCAACACTTGTGCACAATGAGCCTTTTCAGCAGATAAATAAGCACGTGTGGCAGATTAAATTTGCTCGTTGTAACCTTGCTTTGTTATGCACCACGAGCATCACTTCATTGGGATGGAAGAGAAGAAGAAGTGGCAAAACTGAACCATACTTTCTGTGGATTTTCCTCCCTTCTCCCGTTGGATTTTCCTCCTTTTTCCCACTGTATTTTTATAGCTGCTGCACTTCCAGACCAGGCTGTCTGTTTAGGGAATAACACATCTGTGCAGAAATGCTGATCCCCTCCCTTTTTTCTGCTGTTTTGGGTAATGCTGGGAAGTTCATGCTCTGCAGAATGGTCAGGACAGGCCCATGGAGGAGTATCAGAGAGACTTTGATGTTTGCTGATATCACCATGGCAGCTCCGTGGTGTCAGGCATGGTGGAAGCCGTGCAGACAACGCATCCACGGGAGGATAAGGATCCTCCAAGGGGCTCTGAAAACTTGGATCTCATGGCACTTTCAGGATGCAAATCCTACAAAATAACAGAAGGGCCTGAGTCATTTAATTTGTGTGGTTGAGGTTGCTCAAGTGGGCCAAGGAGAAAGGAGAGCTGGGCTGGAGCCAAACTTTTCTCATTTTGCTGAGATATGCTTCATAAATTCCTGTTCTGAGCAGGGAGCTTCCTGCCTGATAATGAGAATAAAGGCTTGGAGTTCTGTCTACACCCTCCCAGGCTGATGAGATGGTGTCTCATGTGCCTCCCCAGGGGACAGCCAAATCTTGGGCCAGCTTTGGATCATCTCTTCTAAGGGCTGACACTGTGTCCTCCCAGCCCTCAGTCACTTGGGCTGCATTAAAAGGGTGTAAGAACTCTGTATAGCAAACAACTGTCCTCTCTCCAGTAGATTTTATCTTTTTATCTTGTGAGGTAGTTTTTTTGTTTGGTTTTTTTTGGGGGGGTTGGTTTTGTTTTGTTTTGGGTTTTATTTTGTTGTTTGTTTTTTGGTGTGTTTTAGGTCAAGTGTTGTATTTTTAAGTCTTGTTAAGTAGTTTTTTTGTTTGGGTTTTTTTTTGGAGAGTTGGTTTTGTTTTGTTTTGGGTTTTATTTTGTTGTTTGTTTTTTGGTGTGTTTTAGGTCAAGTGTTGTATTTTTAAAAGCACGTTGAAAAAGACCAGATTTTATTTCTGCTCACATTGGCTTAGCCATAATGACAGCACAGATGTTTTTAAGCTAATCCTAACAGTGATTAAATGGGGGTAATTCTGCTCAGAATATGCCTCTTCATCCTTCATGAGAGCATTAGGTGAGCACAGGGAGAGTGGCAAACCCCAGCAGAGTTTTGTGGCACCTGGAAGCCATCCCTGTCTTCTCTTTGATTTATTCTCAGTTATTTTTCCAGCTCTTGTCCTGTGATATTGGTTTTAGGGCTCTGCCTGGACAGGCACAATGCCATTAATGTGTTTGGGGAGAGCAGAAACATTTGATAAATGCTGCATGCAAACAGCTTTTTTGACCTGGTGGTATGAATGGAAGTCATCTGCCTGTGTAGGAGTAGAGTGTTATTTCAATGAGTTTATCTTCTCTTTCTCTTCCAGCCCTTTTTTCCCCCCACTAGTGAGACTGTGCATCCTCCACGATGATATCCTTGCATCCTGATATCTCTGCTCTCAACGTGCAGTCTTTGTCTTCTGCTGCCACCATCTAATCCCCCTCCACCTCCCCCCTGAACCCCTCTGATTCCACAGGTTCACTCTGAAATTCCTGTAGGTTTTGACTCTGACATTACAAGTTCCATGTTTAATCCTTTTCCTGGATTATTTCCTTTTGAATATGCTGCCAAGTCCCTCAAATACCAAGGCTCACCTTGCCAGATGCTCTTCCCAGCTAACCTGAGTGCTTCTCCCTGTCCCTAGGTGAGAATGTGGACAGCAAAGTGGAGTCCCCAAGGCTGCAGGTGTCAAAGGAGCAGTCCAAAGATTATGAGATAACAATTCCCTTCCTTTTGAATGGAGAGCAGTGGAGACCAGTGAATGGCATTTATTCAAAGGTTAGTCTTCATTTTGCCTATTTGTTTATTCTTAGCTGTGTAACAATTTTAAAGGCTGTAGGGAGAATTTAATGCACTTTCATCCTATAGGTGATAAGAGTGTTTTTATAGCGTTGTTGCTGCATATTTAATTTGAAATTTAATTATTTAATAATGAAATTGCTGCTTATTTAATTTAAGACATGGGTAAGGGTTTTGGTTGAAATTAATACCTTTTTCCTGCAGAGATGCATTCTTCTTTCTGATGGCAGAAATGAAAGTTTAAAGTGAAATAACAGCAATTTAATTGCTTGAGATTCTGTCATGCAACAGCAAAAGGAAAACTGAGGGAGGGGCAAGCACACCAAACACGTTTGTTTGGTAAATACAGTCTGACAGCAAGGAATTTAGGGACCAGTGTAAATAAGGTTGCTGTGCTGGCTGCAGCCTGAGGCATTATCTGGGCTTAATTATCCCATGGGAGACCCCCAAATTCCATCCCTGTGCTGGATTGGGAGTGAGGGGTGACTCTCCCTTCACACTCTGCTTCCCCTTTCCTAACAAGGGCAGGATCTGCCACTGGCTCTGAGATTGTTTCCCCCTCTTGACAGGCCCTGATAAACTTTGCTCCTTTTTCCCCCTCAGACATTTGTGAATGATACAGGAAGTTGCACTTAGAAAAAAAAAGGCTGGGTTTTGTCTCCTTCTTGAAGTATGAAGGCAGTTTGTTGTTTATTATCACCAAATGTATCCTGGGAATCTCTTACCCAACCTTTTAACTCAGGTCCGGTTTGATTCCGCCTCACTTTTTATGTCATTCTTTAAATTACTTGGATGAGGAAGGGAAAAAGTAAAGTTTTTAAATAGTTAAAAAGAAAAAAAAAAAAAGGAGGGAGGAAAAAAAAAAAACAAGCAAAAACAATGCAAAAAGTCCAGAGAGCCAATTAGAAACAGCTTTTCTTGCTGGATTGGGAAAGTATTCCATGGAGAAATCCTGCTTGACTACTGCCACTGCTTGCAGGACGTGGCTTTGGACCACGTTGCTGATTGACACAAGTAGGTGTGAAAAGATATTTCCAAACAAGGGCTCTGACTTTCAAAAAAAGCTTGTCTAGATTAAAATTGTTCCTTCTTCTCCTCTGTCCCTTCCTAAATAGGAGAGAAGGGCCAGGCCCAGTTCTGAATCTGTGCAGTGATGAAAGGGATATCAGAGTGGGTGTAGAATGGCTTATCTTGGAGAGATAACACAGATGGCTTGGTCCTAGATGTATGTGCAACTCTATTTTTAGATTATTTAATTAGAAACAGGCATTCTCCATACAGAGAGAGGCCTTTAAGCTACTCACTGGAGCTCTCTGAGAGAGTTACAACCCAGTATCACTCTGTGAGTAATGATAATGTGATTTATATCGTTAATTTGTTTCCCAGAATTACTTTCAGTTTAAGATAAACACTAGAAAAGATTTGTGGCTTGGTAGAAAGATCCACGTGCTGTATCAGCACTTTTTTACCCCCCCTTTGAATACTTCTTTTCCATGGAAACTTATAAATTAAATACACAAAAGTGCACATCAGGCTGTGGGAAGAACAACAGCTTCAGTGGTAGAGGAGAAGAGTAATGAATAGCTTGTCACATAAATATTGATCAAAAGCACAAAAGTTAAATACTGCTGTATTTGATGGCTAAATGGGATCTATTGTTCTTCAACTCGTTTCAAAGTGTTCCTCTGTTTTATTTTAATCGTATATGAAGTCAAAAAAAGTATGTACTTGTAAGAGGGGAATGCTATTGCAATAGGATATATGGTAAAATAAATAATGGAGTGGCTATAAAAATGCCAAGGGATTAAAGTTATTTGTGTACAGATAATTGCCTGGCAATGATGGCCCCATTCCCCGATCCTTTCACTGTAAATACTCCTGCTTAACAATTAGTCCCTGGGAAAGCACACTCATCATTCAGTGCAGCCTTCTCTCCCATCTTGGAGATAAAACTGTCCTTTTATTTACCCCAGGAGTCGCTGCAGTGTCTGTTGGAATCTCTCACTTGAAGTCTGTCAGCAATGATTATTAAGCTAATGACTTTCTCGTTGAGGGCCCATACACTGTGCAAAAAATGTGAGATAATTCACACAGTCTAATGGCACAAACACACAGAACTGCTCAGAACAGCAGTGAGCAAATGCCATTTAATGAGAGAAAAAAAGAAAAATTGCTTATCTCTAACCAGATTTTACTTTAATACACTTGGGATGTGCTTTTTCAAGGACATCTTGTGATTTAGGTGTTTCCTATAAAAGTTTAAATTACTGACAGGCAAACCCCAATTTCAAATACAGATATGTAATTAAGTTATATTTAAAGAATCTTGGGTTTCCTAAGTGTAGATTAAGTGTTTTGTGTCTGGAGAGAACTGATCAGGTCAGTTTTTACTGGGCAGGTCAGTTTTTCTCTCCACCTTCCCCAGCTCAAGTCAAAGCTCTGTCAAACCAAGGCCAGGATTTCATGGTGGCACCATTTCAGAAATGTTGCTTTTTTCCTGTTTAAAAGACGCCTGTGCTGGTGCCAACGCTTTTTGTAGAATCATGGAATCCTTTAGGCTGGAAAATACCCCCAAGGTCGTCGAGTCCAGCCTTTGGGCACCACCTTATCCAATAATCCACAGCCCTGGGTGCCACATCCAGTCATTTCTTTAAGACTTCCAGGGATGGGGACTCCAACACTGCCCAGGGGAAGCCTGATCCAATTCTTATCCACTCTTTCAGTGAAAAGTTTTTTCCTAATATTCAACTACTTGGGGCCTTTCCCCCTTGGCCTATCAGCATCCTAGATAGGGAAGAACATTTAGAAAATAAAATATAGATGCTCAGGAGAAGCTACTATGGAAATATCTCAATTTGTACAAGTGTGTGATGCTGTTTGTTTAGTTGGGGTTCATTTCTCCTGGCATCTTTTTTTTTTTTTTGTTTTTCAATTCAGAAAATGTATCATTTTCAGTGGGAATATTTTACTGGTACCTAATTCTTTTATTAACTGGATATAATATTCACTTGTCAATCCTGAGCAGGCTGTTAAAATGAGTAGCTGCTATTTTGAGTGTCCAGTTGTTGCTGCTGAGGAGAAAATGCTGCATTTGGGGCCGTGTGGCAGCGGGATCGGGCCCTCAAGGGTTGTGCAACACCACCCTGGGCTTCAAACAATAGCTGCCCATATTCCCTGCAGATGTGATTTCCTCCTTCCCTGAAATTTTGTGTGCATTACAGCATGTGTTGATAGGTCATTATACATTAGAGCTCCAGTTGTCCTTCCCCTTCTCTTTTTTCATTTGCTCAGCATTTCGTGTTCTGTGTTGATTACCACCCCCCACCTCTGCTTGCTTTAAACACACAAGGGCTGGGTTCTGTTTTTCTTAAATATTTCTAAGGTTTGAACAAAATGGTTTCATTTTATATTATTTAAGTGCAGCAAAAAACCCCTCTTTCCCCCCCCCACCATATTTCCAGCTGAATATTTTTCTTCCAAACTTGGCTCGCGATTCACAAATCAAGCCAAGTTTGATGAGAGTTTGGGTAAGTGATGTTTTAGTACACAGAACACTTTAGGGAAGATTTTTTTGAAGACCATCTGTTTGGCTTCAGCTTTTATCCTCACACTCTGTTAGGGACACAGAGGGCTTGGTGTGTGCCAGATCCCTGCAGCACGGGAGCTCTGGGTCAGGTAATATCAATGGTGTTATCCGGAGCCTGCACTCATCCCTCCTCCTGGGGAGACAGGAGCCAGGCAGGAGATGTTCCACGTGGGCATTAAGGGGCTTTTGGCTCCGTTTCTGTGCTGTAAAGGTCGGCACAGTGGGGAAATGCTGCCTGGCAGGGCAGGCATGGAAAAGCTGCAGTGCCCAGTGTGGCATTGCCCTGGGCTGGCACTCGTGTTCCCAGAGGCACACAGATTAGTGGTGCTGGCTTTGGACCCAGGGTTTGGTCCAGACTGTAAAATGCATGAAGTTCCTGAGAAATGGGAAGTGTTTTGGGAGGGTTTGGTGTGATCAGCTATGCAGGTAAAACCAGAGGGCTCAGGGTGTGGTAGCAGTCACTTGGGTGTGGGGTTTTCTCTGCTCCTGGCTGTGTAGGACCTGTCATCCCATTGCTGGCACCTGCAAGGACTCAAAGAGCATCAGGACCAAGTGCTTTGAAAGATTTAATCCTCTCAAGTTTCGAAAAGCACATGGGCAAGTTAGGTGCAGCTTTTCTTACTGGGGGATATTTTGCACACTTTGATGAGTATGGATCTTTTGTCCTGATCTCTGTACCTGTCCAAGTGCAGTATTAACCTGTGGGTGCTCCAGTCAGGATACAGCTGCCATTCTTAAAAATAAATGGAAATGCACCTGAACCTGGGCAGGTGTTTGAGGACCTGCAGCCTGGAGCTGAGTGTGGTTCCTAAAAAACCCTGTGAGAAGTTGGAAAGCCCTGAGATGCTTGAACTTGATTTGAGTTTGCAAGTTGCCAGCCCAGGTTGCTTTCAAATGTTGGAATTTCAAACAGGGATTTTGATTTTTGATGTTAAATTTGGGGGATATGTGAATCAATGAGCAAATTTTGCTGTGACTTCTTGAAAATAATTAACTGTGGGAAAGTAGCTGTGCACAATCTGCCTGTCACTGGGTTAGACCCTTAATCCACCTGGGTCACTGTGAGCCTCATGGACTTTTAAAATACTGTCACTGACTCAATATATAAACACAGATGGGAAAATCCACCTCTCCCCCACCTTGCAGAGAGTGAGACCTCTAGTTCTATGGTTCCCACACCCAAGAGATTGGGGTTGTGTTGGAGTTAGAGACAAGCAGAGGAAAAGAAAGAAAGGTGCCCGTGGTGGGTGGAGAGGATGGCAAGACCTACAGGATATTTCCAGCTCTCACTCCAACACCAGTGACTTCTAAATGCAAATAAATCAGAAATTCTTCTCCCCTTTGGGGAGGGGGCAGTGGATTCAGGGATCAGTAACACTGCTTTGCCAAGCTG